ATCGACTTCAAAGTTTTAATGCTTACTTATAAGGCCCTAAACAGTTTAGGACCTCGATATTTGGTGGAACGCCTGCTCCCACCAAGATCTACCTGGATCACCCATGCGAGTCAGGAGGTGAGGCTGAGGAGCCTGATGCCGAGAGAGGCCCGGAAGGAAAAGACACGAAATCGGGCCTTCTCGGCGGTGGCTCCTCACCTCTGGAACAGCCTCCCTCCAGAGATTCATGCGGCCCCCATGCTGGGTAATTAAAAACATGGCTGTATATTCAGGCCTTCCCTCCAGCTAATACTTGATTTTTCTTTTTATTTTTCCTTTATTGATTTCTTATTCTGTCTTTGTATTGTATTTGTTATTGTATGATTTATGTAATATGTTGTGTTATTATATTGTTTTATTTTATGTTGGAAGCCGCCTAGAGTGGTCGTATAGACCAGATGGGCGGGGTACAAATCCAATCAATCAATCAATCAATCAATCAATCAATCAATCAATCAATCAATCAATCAATCAATCAATCAATCAATCAATCAATCAATGTGTACTCCAAATAAGCAGATTGCACTATATCCATACAGTAGGCAATGTGTAATGCAGAGTCATAGGTACTATGCTTTTGCAGGGTTCGCCTATAATGCAGTGTTCCTTCCTAAAAGTGGAGGCTTTTTTATGCACTGACTGTGCAGGGGCAGGAGGAATCTTTAATGGTAGGTAGTGTGATTGTTTTTTTTAACAGGCATCTTATTAGTCTCTGATCTATGTCAGTCAGAAGTGTGGCTTTCCTATAGGGAGGACACGTAGCCTGAATGCCTTTGGGTTCTAATCAGCATCCCAAATGTCATTTTCCTTTTCTCTAAGAATTTTGTATGTTGATAATTAGCCACAATGGGCACAATTTGCAGTCTGCAAGGAAAACATTTTTTAAAAAAAGCATTCAAGAAAGAGTCAATTTAAAGTCTGAAAGGAAAATGTCATGTTTGTTAATTCTGATCTGGGACTCAGCTACTTTCATGTATCAATTTTCTGCATCCTTAAGGTATTGCTGACTATTGCATACGAGGTTGTGAGGCAGAAAATGGAAATAAAGTTATCAAAAACAGAATAGCTCTTTAGCATTGCAGAGGTACAAGCAAACATAGTGCCAAGCCAATGAGTATGCAAGATCAAACAGATCATATGATACTAATTTTATAAAGGCATACCTACCCATCTATTAGTGACTACCATGAAGGGTTTTTTTTTAAGTTTTTAGTTTAAATGATATACTGATTATATATTATTCCCTTGTGGACATAAAATATGTTTAGCATCTGATAGTAGTCTTTATTGTTTGTTTATTAAAATGCTGCTCTACAGCTTATAAACACAAAAGCAATAACTAATAATTAAAGCACAGTAACCTGCTAAATGCAGCAACCAAAATTCAGTAAATGAAAAAGCAGTGGTCAATAAAGTTAAGCCATGAAGAATCAAATGTCCATTTAAAGAGAAATGTCTTTACTTGGAACAAAAAAGAAGAAGAAAGAAAGCCTAACATTTGGTCAGGGAGTTCCGTGTCTGGGCACTGCCACAAAACAGAATAGCCCTTTCATATGTTGCCAACACTTGTGCCAAATGGGCAAGGCAGCTGACCGTAAAGGACAGTGCAAATTTGTTTTGTTTGTAGGGCAGCATACAAGTGGAAAAGTCTCAGAACCCCTCAGACCCTCTCATTTGCCTTTCCAGGGGTTTCTGGGCAGGGTACGTGGGCTTAACTCATTATCCTTGGAACAAGGCTGAAATGGACTTGTGGTAGTGCCAGCTAGTGTTTCCAGATACACGAAAGAGCCCACATACATACAGCCACTCTACACACAGACATGGGGAGCAAAGCCAGTAGGCACCTCTTTGTTGAGATGTCTACGTCCCTGTTCCCTTTTTCAGGCATTATGTGAAAACAGAGAAAAAATATTCTCATGTGGACTTTTGACAAACATAACTTTCCACCAATGCTTTCATAAAGTTGTTGACCACACACATGTTCTGTTCAGGCATTTTCCAGGAAGTGACTTTGGAGGGGAAAAAAACATATTTTGAGTTGTTGACTGTCTTTAACTGAAGCTTTGTCTGTTCGTACAGGAATGTTCTGTTTTAGATTGCAGCATGTGCCAGAATCTAAATCTCTTACTGTAGAAGGCTGTAAGTGTGTGGTGTGCTTTAGCTGAAATACTTGCTTCATATTTTCATTTTATAAATGTAGAAGTAGCACTTACATTGTTTTATTCTGACCTTTATTTTCTATAGTACTAACACATCATTTCAGACAAACTGCAGACCAAGAGATTGTATTCTGTTATGTGAATATAAAACACTTACATTAATAACTTAACTGGAGGAGGAGAACATAGGCAAGACAAAGAAATATATTTTATGAACAAAGTGAGCTCATTTAATTTCCAAAATATAGGTCTGATGAATATTTATTGCTTAATAAAGAATATGAATGGCTTAAATAAAATGTTTGTTTTGAAAATTTGCCTCAGACAGGAGATTGAGCAATATATAAGAAAAAGTGTAAAACTATTCTGCCTGTAATATACTTGGCTTTTAATGACAACAGTACTGCATAATTCTCACCATAGCATTGCACTACTGTTGTAGAAAATAATTTTCTGTTCTTTGTACCAATGTAAATATTTCCAGAGTGACATCTATGCAAACAGTGTATGCTCAATTGCGGTTGTTAATTTTGCATGAGTGTGAAATTACGTTGCCTGGCCATAGTCCTTTGCTCTGTCACATTCATTCCTGCTGTCCCCTTTATTCTTATAAAATAATGAAACAACAGTGAAATAATATCAGGGCAACATATGATCCTGCCTTTTGTTTTTGCCAGTACTGTACTAGACTTTTTCCTTTTTTCTTAAAATCATCCAGAAGCAGTGACTTTCTTTGAAACAAATTTAGTTCCCCTTCTTAAGCACATCTATGATCTTTCTATTCAGCCTACTCCATTTACTGCTGTAGTCCTTGCATACTAAGCCAATAGCAATATCTGTATAATATTAGAATCTTTTGATAGATGAGAAGTTGGAGCCATCCCAGCAGTTCAAATAGTTAGAACATCAGGGTTTCGTATAATCTGCAGTCTTCTGTTACTGGGAAGTTGGGAGTTAAAAGGCAACAACAAATAACCCCTTAACATACGTCCAGTGCTGGCAACAAGTCACTAGGACAGTAAATTACAGTGGTGCCTCGCATAGTGAACGCTTCGCTCTGCAATGAATCCGCACAACGATGGGTCCCGGGCCATCGCTGGAGCGTTCGCTCAGCGATGGCCCCTATGGGCTTTTTTCGCTATGCGATGATCGCGCGGACACGATCAAAGCATAGTGAACAGCTGATCGGCGGTTCCAAAATGGCTGCCGCTAAAACAAAATGGCGACCGCTGTTTTGCCTCGCTAACGAGGCATCCAAAATGGCCGCCGCAATGGAGAAAACTCGCAGAACGGTGAGTTTTAAGTCCATAGGAACGTATTAAATCAGTTTTAATACGTTCCTATGGACTTTTTTGTTTCACTTAACGATGGATTCGCTGAGCGAGGGTTAATCCGGAACGGATTAACCTCGCTAAGCGAGGCACCACTGTATTTGGTAAAAACATTGAGGTTGAATAGAATACATCAAACAAAGTGTCAAACATACTTCCATTCATCTTTGTTGTTGAATATAATATATTTGTTGAATATTATATATGTCCATATAATAGTTATACAACAGTAAATATTGTGCTGTTCTTCACTGTTACTCTCCCCAGACAATGCCTTTGGAGATATGTATTATTTAAAGTCCAAGTGGCACCAACGGTATATTTCCCGCTCTTGACAAGAATTTGTAAATTAAGCATATGGTTTAAACTACTTCCTAAGTAAAGCCCTGTTCCAAAGTCTGCCAATTATTTAAGAATTAAAACCAAATAAGGATAGTTATCTGGATGCACACTCAGTGGAATTTACTTGTATGGTTTCATTTTATATTTCTTTCTAATCTACAGTGCCTTGTGTTTGAAGATGCTCCCAACGGTGTCACGGCATCCCTGACAGCTGGAATGCAAGTGGTCATGATTCCAGATGAAAACCTGAGCAAAGATCTGAGAAAAGAAGCCACACTGGTGCTTCAGTCCATGAATGAGTTCAAACCAGAACTTTTTGGCCTACCACCCTTTGATTGAAAGTCTGCTCCTTTAAAAACCATTTTGATGTCATCACCCTAACTTTTGCCAACTGTTTTAATCACATCCTCAGTGTTCACAATAAAAAAAAAATTTGATAATAGATTTATTCAGATACGAAGACGCAAGCGTCCTTCTCAACGACCTACTTTTTTTTGTGGGGAGAGCAACCCCATATGCTGCCAGACAATTTCACTGTGATCCTATGTTGCTTTCGAAGGAGTCTTTAGTGCCAGACAAATCTTTAGATTTGCATGTAAATACCTATATGTTTCCTGTCTGAAAGGGCTCCAAATTGTATGTGTTGCTCTTATTTGGTATCCCATCCACGTTTCTGCAGTCTTTAGCCTTTGACTTGAATGATCCAGTACAAAAGACTAGAAGATCTCAAGCCAGCCATCGAGTTGTAAGACTGCAGGCAGAACCCTGTTAATTTTTATTTTTGTGCTGTGTCTTTAGGTGCTTTTAAGTAATTGACCTAGTCACATTACACAGGGAATCGCTACCAATCCAGCCATAGATTTCTCTCATTACTGCTCTTTCTTTTCCTAAAACTGATGATGTTCTTCTGCTAACAGGCAATGTGCAGTTGTTTTCACAGGGCTTTTGCCCTTTTGTCTTTCCTTTCATTGCCAGAGATAGAAAGAACATCTCTTGCAAGCTTCAGGGGAAGTCTTTGCTCTTGAGATTCTTCTAAGTGCGGCAGCAATCCTTCCTCCTCCTCCTCTCAGCTTACTGTCTTGCCTGATTAACCCTTCCTGATGAAGTCATGACAGCTTCCTTTGTTCAGATTCAACTCGCTGGATGCTGTTTCCTTTTGCTATTTTCTCTGAGGTTTCCATGTGAATTGTACCTTTTGAGTATGTTCACGGCATATCTAGGGGTGGTATCTTCAGAATTGCCTCTAGAAAACCAAGTTGACTGTACTGTACTGCGCTGCACTGATCTGTGTCCAGATTTGGAGGGGTGGAATTATCTGATGTGAATAAATTTGTTCATTGTAGAAGGTTGCATGTTTTGATTTTGTGTTCTGTAACTGCATAAATTAGTAGAAAACCACATAGAGCAGTGAAAGCCACCTGCTGACTGTTCTGCTTTGATTTCTTTCACATATAGTAGGCATTATGCCCCTCTTTCATATACTGACATCAAAACTCCCTTTCTGTTGTCACTTCTCTATTTATGTTGTGGTCTCTTAAAATTACTACAGAAATAAACATGTTTTCTTTAATAATGTTCACTTATTTCCCCTCTTCTTTGCTGCTGCCACCACCCTTTACCTGATCCTCTCTCTCTCTCTCTCTCTCTCTCTCTCTCTCTCTCTCTCTCTCTCTCTCTCTCTCTCTCTCTCTCTCTCTCTCTCTCTCTCTCTCTCTCTCTCTCTCTCTCTCTCTCTCTCTCTCTCTCTCTCTCTCTCTCTGTGTGTGTGTGTGTGCGCGCGTGCCTGCCTTTGCCCCTTTGTTCAGGCCTTTATAACACCTCCCATATAGCCAGCCCTCAGGTATTCAACTCAGCACCACTCAGCTTGAACAGAACTAGCAAGTATTTATTAAAATAGAGGTGACAAGTGAATGTTATCCAGCTCACGTCTTCATCCTTTCTATCACTTCTCCCTCTCTCAGACTCAAAGCTCTTTAAAAAACCTCACTCCACGTAGGTCTCTCAGACCCCAGACTGATCTAATAGAGACTCTAGACTGATCTCTCTTTCCAGATTTACAGTCTCTCACACACATACACTGCCTCCATGTTCTCAGACAATTTCTTAAGTCTGCAGAGGTATGTTATATAAAAGAAAGAGAGGAGTATAGATATTAAGAGATTGAAATCATGTGGTGTGCGTACTGTATTTAGGCCTTGGAAAAATTATTTTTTCAAATGCCCACTATAGATCATCCTGGCCAGGATTCTGGGAGTTTAAAAATGTACCTGCTTGTCATTCTGACATACAGACACATCTCTTCTGACTGGAAGACAATACTTTCTCCTAATTCCATATCAGTAAGTAAAAATGAATTCTGATGACAACACCTCTTTGTGCTAAAAAGGACTGCACTCGGGAGGGTATGTATATCTGTATGTCTTCTTTAAAGCAGAAATGCAAAAAAAAAGTATGCACAGCCTATTTTGACTCAGGACTACGTTCTAAGCAAAGTTGGTGAATTGTGTTTTACTTTGAGAGAAATATCTTGATCAGTCTTCTGCACTCATAGCCTTCTCTCCCAATCCTTTTCTGACATAAAGAAAAACCAGAATACTTGCCTGATTACTTGGGAGAGAAAGAAAAATAAAGGAGCAAGGTATTAATGAAATGGGTGCCAAGTGGATAATTCAAATGCAAACGTTCCCAGTGTAGAAGAGCATTCCTTTCTAACTATATGGATGACAAAATCTCAGCAAAAAAAGAGTTTCTTCTTTAAAAGGTGTATGTGTGTGTGTGAGGGGGGGAGGTACCAGCAAGAATAACTGCAGTTTTGGGGTGCAACGAAATATTCCTTGCATGTAAGGTTGTTTACACAAAACATAAATAAGCTTTAAAATGGCCTTAGCAGCTATATATCAATTAAGGGGAACAGACAAAACTCCAGATGTGTTTAGGAACAATTGAGATCCCTTTTATTGAATTTTGCAACAGTAATTTGATGTGTTTTGGCACACACATTTCTTTTCAATTTATGAGTGTGCCATTTTTACCATGGGGTATACAATAGAATGATGGGCTATTTATTACCTGGGAGATCCAGACTGTAGTCCCCAATGAGCCATGAAACCTGTTGGTGACCTTGATGAGCAAGTCACTGTTTCACAGCCCCTTGGGGTTTCTGAGGTAATAAAGTGAGGGGGGGAAAGCAATATATGACACTTTAAGCTCTTTGGAGGGGAAATGGAATTTTTATAATAATCTTAATAATCATAACATTGACACATTAGTTATTATTAGTATTTTTTTAAAAAGTTTCACTCATGTGTCTTCAGGGCTGGGTTTTGTTTTTGTTTTTTTGTATCATGTTTCTACTTTCTCCCTCTACTTTCTTCTGGTTGGTTAAGAACAGCCACTATTCTCATTTGGTGAAGGGGCAGCATGTGGGAAACTGGTTTTGTGTATAACTCCACTCATATAAATATTCTATACAAAACCTATGAACTTTAATATTCTGTTTCTATTCACAAAAGTTAAATCACACTTTCTTCCATTGGCAAATGTCACTTCATCTGAGGAGAGCTTTCAAGTGCAAATCCCCTTTGGGATCTGTTTCAGTCATAATTGCTCGATTTCAACTGGGGAGTTTTTAGCTGGAACAAACCTTGACAAGTTGCAATTAGTAACTTTTTCAAAGTATATTTACTACCTAATTTGACTGGGAATGAAAGAACCATATCACAGCACATTTGCAAACTTGTCCCAGAGGGAAGTTAACAGAATGCTAGAAATCTTAAGGTAGTGCATGCTTCCTTTGATAAGTATTAGGTAGATATAACAAGGTGTTTCACAACGTCAATGTGCTCTAAACCACTTGTTCTTAACCTTGGGTTACTCAGGAGTTTTGGACTGCAACTCTCAGAAGCCTTCACCACCAACTGTGCTGGCTGGGGTTTCTTGGAGTTGCAGTTCAAAAACATCCGAATAACAAAGGTTAAGAACCACTGCTCTAAACCCTTGAAACCAACTTATCTCTTTTAAAATTGGCATACGCAAGCCAGGTAGGAAGGAATCTCTTGCTCAGAACACCATCCGCTCTAGAGAACTGCTTTTCTTAGCCCTTTAATATTAATAAACAACCTTCTCTTGTTGATTGAAAGATCCCTATCTGATTCCTAATTAAAGAAAGACATTACTTGGATATTTGAGAATCTTGTTTTCCTGTACCAGAATTCTAGCCTGTAGCGCTGAGGCACCTGATTACATCACTATAGAAGCATGACAGCCTAGAAAAACAGAAGTGTAATGATGTAGCAGTATTTCTTGTGCTTTTGGTTGATTACATCAGCTAGAATGATAACTGAGAAGATGCTCCTCTCTATTTGACTTTAAACAAAACAAGAATTCCTCAAGCATATTGCAAGTTCTTATGGATGCTATACTTCTGTTCATAACAGAGTACATAATTAATAGTGTAATTAATCCCAGACAGATAAAAATAGGGTGTTATGTGTCCATGCTGTGTTGTTGTAAGCCTGCCCTTACTCACAAAGCAGGAGGTCTACTATCCATGGATCATGCATTAGTTCAATCCGAATAAATTAATTGCCTTCACAACTTGGAGCAGGCAAAGGGGAGATAGTTGACAGTCAATTCCTCAAAGGTTCTGGGAAGCTAGACAGATAGCAGGGAATAACAGGCAGGAGTTGAACTTACAGTTGCCTCCCACAAAGGCTCTTCTGGCAGCACATACAGTATTTATAGCTGCATATAATCTCCCCTGCATCCAGCAGCTTGTAATTGTTTTCACAGCCTGGACACACCGGCTGTACTTTTGTTTTGGACTTTTCAACCTACACCTGTTCCCAGGACAACTGAGCCTCATATCTGCTGCATTCTCTTCATCTTCTAGTATTCCCCTGTCTACTGTGCTGCTTCTGGAACAACACTTACCATTGGGGCACTGAAATCCCCTTTCATACTGGGTTCCTCCAGCTGCATGAGATCTTCCTGCTCTGATGAAGCTAACTCAGGAAAATGATGCATGGCACTAGATAAATCCAGCTAGACTAGACCTCTGGAATCAACAAGAGTTCACATAATTTAATGTCCCATTCAGTCAATTGGTCTAATCTAATGGGACTCACAACTTAATTTAGCCCAATATGATGTGTTCTAAATCAAAAGAGTAATGGTGTTGTAGGGTTCAAGGTACAAGGTATAAATGGGTGAAGATATCGCTGATATAAAATAACCCATGAGAACATGATCATGTGTTTGGATTGATCTACATTTCAATCTACTTATTGAATCAATAGAGCAATCTTACTGTTTTAGAGTAGTGTTGAGAATCTTAGCCCTCTAGTTCTAGCTTTCTTTTGGTCTACAACTGACATCAGTCTTAGCCAGCATAATCATGTTGTGATCCCATAGATGTTGAAAGCCACAATGTCAGTTACCAATCAAGGAGGGAAGGCAGGAGTAAGGGAAGGAAGGAAGGAAATGTTTTTATTTCCCCATTTGTTTGATTTTGCCTAACAATTCTACCATTTTGCCATAAAGAATAGTTCAGAGAGTAATCTGTTATAGTCACCCTCCATAATGAAAGCTGATACTTCTTAAACTATCATAATCATCAGAAACATCACCACCATATATTCTTCATGTGATGCAAATTTAGGAAAACACCATGTTCCTTCAGATGGCATAAAATATTTCACTGAGAAAGCACAGCATCCAAAAACATTTAGTCCTTCTAAGTAATTTCAGTTTAGCCCTTTTGACCCTTGCCCTGCGGTGGTTTAAACTTAAGCTGAAATAGAATCTTAGGCGTATGAGTGAACTGATGGTGTATAACACCAAATCTTCAGCTTCATGAAAGATCAAGAGCATCTAAGAGCAGCACAGTGTCTTATTTTTTTGTCTTTAAATAGCCTAACATAAATCTGTTTCTAGAGCCTGCCCTATCACAATAAGGCAAAGGAGCTATCTGTAATGTCTGTAGGGAGCTTGAATATTTCATTCTAAAGATCAGTAAACTTATCTGCCTAGATATTCACCAGGATTTCTTTCTTTTATTTGATCATGTGTCTATTCAGACTTTCCCCTTAGATTATTACTGCATAATACCTACAAGTTCCCCCCCTTTCCCAGTGTATTTTCTTAACCACACAATGAGGTAGGCTAAACTGGGAAATAGCGACTTAATTAAAGAATACTCAGTGAATTGGATATCTCAGCCTTTCTCCCCCGCCTTGTCCAATATTCTTTGTTACAAGGCAACATTTGCTTTACTTGGTTTAAGGTCAATGAAATTATGGATAAATAAGATGAGAAGGTGCAATAAATATTTTCAAAAATCCG